TCTTATCTGTAATTTATTTCCTGCTGATTGGCAGTGCCTCCTGATTCAGCAGCAAGGCCATAACTGTGCTGGCTCCAAATTGAACAGGAAAAGAATAACAAAGAAAATTGGGAAATAAATGCAAAGAGTGGTTACAGGGCAATGAAAACTATACTTCTTCTTCTTCTGGCAAGGTTGGTCCTATCATGTTGATGTATGCCTGGGAAGTCATAATACAACACAAGCTTTCGATTATTTTGTCAACAACAAAAGCAAATGTCCCCCTTTCTCCAAAGTTCCTGTGTACTGGTTTGAGGGAGTCCATATTGTTTTCTGCTGAGGTTTTTTTTCCCCACTGGAAGAAGCTTGATTGGTTAGAGTAATTTGTTTAGAAATTAAGAGTACTAAGAATCAATACAGCATGCTTTTATGGCCATAGAAAGAATTTTGTTGAGGCCACAAGGTTCACAGAACAGGAAGTACTTTCAGGAGTTTAGGATAATTTAGAGTTCATTAACCGAACTCTGGGATGCATTTTGACCTGCTATTTAATGCTCATAAATCTATTCAGCACATTAAAGGGCTGTAGATGATTAGATAAAAAGTGAAGGAAGAAATATAGCTATACTTATTGTTGAGTATCATGTTTATAAACCATTTGCCTTGCCTTGCTTATTTGCCCTGACATTGCACTTTAAATGGGTTGAAAGTTTTTAGTAGTCTTAGATTATATTGCAAGATATAGAACTTTCTTTCTAATTAAAAAATAATAGTTCAGATGGTGAATAATTTGTATTAAAAGTCTTCACTAGCACCTCTTCTTTGAAGGCTTTCAACATTCTCATCAAACTTTCTAGCCTTTACTCCATTCCCAAATACACCATGATACGAAGCATCAGTTTTACTGGGTTGGTCAAAAGGATAGAAAATGTCTTCCTTTTCTTTACTAAACATCCTGACTCTTGGCATCAATATTGCTAATTAATTGTTATCTAATTGTTGGACATTTTTATTATACACAAAACATAGTAATAAGATTTTAGGATTATTAAATGGCAGCTGTGTGTTGAGGCTGTATATGTAAGATTTACACAGCAGAATATTGCATTAAATGAGGTCACATAGGCTAAGAACGGCACAGTTTCTCATATGTGCATATAACTTCAAAATTTAATATGTACATATTATGTGTAAGTGGATACATATAAAGGCCAGGAAGACACGTGTGTGAGGGATCAAAGATGAAGTGGGGCATGGAGGTAGTAAATCACATGCAGTATGAAAGTGGAAGCATGAGTCCTGGAGTTGGAATGGCTTAAGTGGGGATAAGGAGCAGGGAGATGAAGAGAAGAAGGGTAGAGAGTGTTGACCCAAGTGTTTTTAATTATGGTTACCATTGCTCTGATTAAATGGTATTGCCAAGGGAAGCTTGATTATGAAAGGATTTATTTTGCTCACAGATCCATATAATAGTTCATCAGTAAATGCACTGAAGGCAGGAACCTGGAATCAGAAGTCAGCACAGAGGCCAAGGAGGAGTGCTATTTACTGTCTTGCTCCCATTGTTTGCTCAATCTGCTTTCTTATAAAACCCAAGATCATCAGTCCACAAATCCAAAGGGACTGGGCCATCCTCCTCAATCAGTAATTATACCCAACAGGGTTGACTGAAGACTGATTTTTTGGAGTCATTATCTCAATTGTTCCTTCCTCTTGAATGACTTATACCTTGAATCAAGTTGATATAAAACTGCCCAGCACATCAAACTAAGGATATGTAGAAAAGACATAAGGAAAGTTACTATTTTGTATGCTAATTATAAACAAGATGAAATAAATAAAAACAGTGTGAAGGGAAGCATTCTGCAAGAGTGATAGAACCGGTCCCAGAAGCTACACCATTTCTAATGAAAATCCAGAGCAATGGGCACCCTAGGAGCTCCCAAAAGCAAAATGTTGCCATTGATATTGATTGCCTACCAGCACCACATGGTTGTTAAAGACACCACATTCTTTTATTATACAACATACAGGAATGATCCAGAAATGTAGTTGGAAGCTCCTACCCAGCTAGCTCCCACTCCAGTGCTTCCACAGAGAGGGCCTATTCTGTGAAATAGAACCATCCCAAGGCACGTAGGCCTAAACTGTACTAAAAGAAATGTAATTTAATGTAAACCTGGGAGCAAGTCCCAAGCATTGTTGTTGGATGGATTGTGCTTCTGTTCTGGTCTTGCCTTTCCGTGATGATGGTCTGTAGCCTGTAAGCTAAAATAAACCCTGTCTTTCCAAACTTGCTTTTGGTCATTGTGGTCATTACAGCTATGGAAAGCAAACTAGGACAGCATTTCTCTTTTTGTTCAAAACTTCAATTTGCTTGTTCAATTTCTATTTCTTTTTGTTCATTTTTGCTGTTTTCTATTTTGTTTATTTTATCTCATCTATTTTGCTAATCTACCTTTTCATGTCATCTTTTAGGGCACTGATAATTTTTGCTAATAAACATTTGGTCCTTATTCTAGCTTTTGGCCTTTTTCAGCATTTTAGATTAGTCATTGGAGTTCTGATCTTTTGGAGTTTTCACATTGCTTTTCCATGGTATGTTTGTTTATGTGTTATATATATTTTCCAGGATAATTTTTGAATATCCTTAGTAAACATACTAATTATGATAGTTAATTGCCCATTAGCACACAGAGTTACTGTTGTAACAGTAACTTCACACCACACAACATACATAAATTGTCTTAAATTTGATCAAAGCATCAACAATGACAATAACAGAGAAAATGACCAAGATAGTGTACAATATGCTATGAAGGTACAAATTATCTAGATATACTATAGATATACTAAGTGAATGAGATAAAGGAAGAAGATTAAAGGGGTATTATATAAAAGATTATATCAGCACAAACGAAGAAAAAGATGACAATTATTTGTCAATAATGACAAATTTTGAAATAAAATTAGGTACATATGTGAGGAGAATCAAAATAAAAATAAAATAAACTCTTAAAGTTAAAAAACTTCTAAAAATAAAGCAAGAAATTCTGATAAGAAAAGAAAAATAAAGTTAAAAAAGAAAAGTTGTCCAGTAATACAATATGTGCATACAGGTGTCTGTATATTGAGGAATAAAAACAAAAATCACTGAGATTTGTTTGTATAATTAAGTAAATGTGCCATAAAATGGGAAGTAAAAGGAAGACCAAGGAAAAAACATCCAAAGTTCTTGTTCCTCAGGACTGGAGACTGGAACATGGTGGGTAAGTTAAGAGCAACTGTCAGCCCTTGTCATGTTTGTGATGTTAGCTGGAAGTGAGTCTGTATTATAAAATTGTCCAGTGTCCACAATATCTGTTCTTTGTGTAGCAAGTACATTTTCTACCTACATTTAGCTGTGTAGTCTCTGTGAAGAGACTTTTCAAAACATAGCCACATGGGGAACTCTAGCTAAGGTATGCTTTTAATACCATTGAGAATTAGGGAAATAACTGCAACACTGATATTTATTTGTACAAGGAGAAGACCTTTTCTCATACTTTCAAAATACCCTATGTATTGATCACATTGCTGGAAAGAATCAAGCCATGGCCTGGGCTTCAGGTACAACAAGAGTTTCTCAGTAAAGCACTCATACGTCATTTCTAAGAAAAATCAAGCCAATCAGTGAACTAATCTTTGTTTCATCACCATATTTCATTTGAAACATCAATATAGACTCATTTAGTAAAAATGGTCACTAAAGCTTCCAGTGTCTCCTTACTAAGCACTGACATTTAAATACTTTCCTCTACTCTTCTGAGAAATGTGTACCCCTCCTGTGATACTCCTTTATGAATGCCTCTTGTTATGTTTTATATTTAAGTTTATATTGAAATATCTTTCATAATACATCAAATTTGACTTTTCTGTGAACAAAAAGGATAACCTGTGTAAATGATTTATGCAGGTAAAAGAATGGCTTAATAAATAAAATATTGAATTAATTATAATTTTGGATTTTGATCACCTCACTGAAGGCTACAGGGTGGAAGTGAAATGGTTCTTTGAAGTACAGAATGCTTTATGCTAACTACCAATATCCTGAAGATACAAAGAGTCCTGATTCTCAGGCTACATGAGACCTAATTTCACCATGACTAAATGAGTGCTTCAGGTAGGAGATCACAAAACACCCAATGTTTAGTGTTTTCAATGTTAGTGTCACTTGAATGGAAATTTTTTTTCACATTTTTACCAATATAGAGCCAAAGAAACTTATTTTTTCTAAATGCAGATGTGTGTACTCTTATGCCTCTGTATGGTGTGAAAGAATATGTTTCCAATATATGCGTCTGGAGTTGAGAACATGATTTAGCTAGCGGACTAATTTCTTCATTTTTCCACTATCTGCTTCTCTGACTACATTATTCAGGAGGATGGAGTTAAAGAAGAGAAATAAGGGAGAAAGTAAAATTACCAAGAATAAAAAGAGAAAGGGAAGGCAAGAGAAATAAGACAAATAATCAATGGAGATGAGGATACTAGGAGAGAATAGGGAGAGGGATGAATTTGGTAATTATGGCTTCCCCTTGCTCTTGTGCCTCCCTGTCCCCAAATTTCTAGGCAACTGTTAGACCCTTCTGTGCTCCTTTCATTTGGTCCCAGACTGGTGCAAACTTTTATCTTATACCTATGTATCCCAATACACTAGGTAGAAAAAAATAGCATTCTTTTCAGTACTTACTAAGAGAATTACGCCAAGAAGTTAAATAAAAAAAGTGAAAGTATCTGGACAATTGGGCATAGTAGCCCTCTTTAACCCTAAAACTAGGAATTCGATGGAGGTGGGTCTTTGAGTTTTAGGCTAGCCATTCTACATAACAACTTCCAGGTAAACCAGGCCTTCGTAGTGATACTCTATGTTCTTTAAAACAAAACAACAAGAAGGAACACAATATATAAGGAATTTCTGACACTTGTTCTTCTCAGATTTGGAGAAAAAAATCACTTTATACAGAATGTAACCAAGAGCCTCCCTCAAACTAAATTCCTGAATTCAAACCTGCCCTTTAGGCAGCACTCCAGGGCATGTTCTGCTCTTTGCAAGGTTTAATTTTGAAGAAGCACATTGCTGGGTAAAAACAGGACTTCAGGGTACAATATAATTCAAAATGCAATTAAAATAAACTCTTCGAGTGGAAATGCAAGATGCATTTTTATTCTATTAAAGCCTTTGGCCTTATCACTGCAGAGTACTTCTATAGTAACCAGTCTCACACAATAGGCAGCATGCCTCAGCTGAGCAAAAACAAACAAGGCCTTCAAACACGACAATAACTTCCTGTACCTACTTTTGTTTGCTTGCTGAGCCTGCAAACACTGGGAGTTGCTGAAATACACAAGCGTAACAGCTTGAGTCAATATTTGCCTGTTAAACTGTGGTGTTTTTATTTTGCAAGGTGACTGAACTCCTTGAATAAACATATCTCCTGGTAGGCAGGAAGCAGAACTACATAAGGAAGACACCAGAAAGAGGGCCCAAAACAGAATCAGCCCTGCCTTCCTGGTAGCACTCCAGTGGGAAATCCTGAGTCTTCAGAGGGTCCTGACTTAATACTTTTCATTCAGAGACAAAGAACTAACCCCTTGGGGCCGAGGAAGTGCCCAGGACAAGTTATACTACCTGTCTTTAAGATTATTCTCACCAAGTCATGTGTGGTGTCTTTTCATCAGACTCTAGGATCACAACTACTGAACCACTGTATCTCATGAGGCTGAGAAAGCATGATCCTAGTAAGTTCCTAGGTCATAACCATGCAGTTGATTCTGGGACAAAGCACTGGTCTAGACCAGTCCAATTCAACACAAGTGCAATGTGGGCAAACCATTGTTTATAACTATACAGTTACCGAAGGTGAACAAATAATTGTGAAGTGAGGTTAAATATCATTCTAACAAGTAGTCTCAGCATGCAGAGAATAGGTTTCAGGGCAGCAGCATCTGAAAAGCTACTGTTAGTCTTCTGCTGCCACTTTAAGAACTAACCACGCCCACCCCAGCCACTTTTGGACCTCCCCCTCAGCCATCTGTTCTCTCTCTCTGGTGCGTGTGTGTGGGTGCCTGCGCGCGCATGTGTGTGTGTGTGTGTGTGTGTGTGTGTGTGTATGTATGTATGTCTTTGTTTTCTCTATGTTTGTCTATGTTTTCCTTTCTTTAAGTAATAAATGTTTAGCTTTATTTATAGCCTTATGTCCATTTACTCTGCCGTCTGACTCTGCCACTCGCCCGGGGACCCTGTACTACTCCAACGGCAGCTTCTGCCTGGCTTGAGGCTGCCCAGGCCATCATAACATATTATTTTTAAAAAAAGAACAATATTGGTGCCAGGACTGGAAAGATTCACCCGCCAAGGGCCAGAGTTCCAGCTTTACCCTTTGTCCGGGACTCTGACCACCAACTTCCGGGATTGAATCGGACCGAGGGCCTTCCTCAACACCGCCAACTGCCTGGACTCCTTCCCACAAACAACACCGGCTTCTAATTGTAAGTTTCCTCACTCCAACCAGCTTATCTGAGCCTTTTTAACCCGGGATTGACCAGTCCTCCCGGTCTTTCTGGGCTCGGGGAGGGGTACTTTGCCCCGTCACTGGCGTATGACTTGCATCCTGTTAAGCCCATGCATTCCCTCACCTGCTGGCCCCGGGCCTCCAGTCGTCTTCCTCTCTCATTTCATTCTGTTCTTCTTTCTCATCTTTCTCATGGAAAAGGCTGATCTGGTTCGGCCTATACCCCCCACATGTGGATTGAGGACTCTCACCCATGTGTCCTGGGTGGTCGATTATTTGCATTTGACCTAAACGGGGAGCCGTTCCCCATAGGCTCATGATGCCATGGTTTTTGAGGGATTTTCATGGTCTTGACCTGGAAAAGCAAGTCGTACCAGCCTAAATATGCCTTAAATTGTCTGTTTATGCAGTTTTTTCATGATTCAGACTCTGCATAACAACCAGGCAGCCCCCTGCTTTTAAAATTCCCGCGGTCTTTCCATTCAAGCCACAACACGTGTCCGTCGCCATGTTCATGGGGTCAGGTGACTTTATCGTTAGATTCACTGAGAGCCAGATCACGTGACCAGGCCCTCCCACTGTTATGTATGTCCCGCTTTCCCCTCCCCCTCCTCAGTGTTCACTAAAATCCTCTCCTTAGCTGTGATTACAGGAGTTTTGCATACTGACATGCTTTCTGATAGGGCCCATCAGAGAGCATGCATTCTGCCTAATTCCTGTTCTCTATGTATAATAATTGTTCATTTCAGACTACAAAATCATAAACTGGTATGTACTTTTAAGCTGTTTTTTACCATTGTCAGTTCTGCCACTAATCTTAATGTTACAGTTTTTTTCTTTCTGTCTGTCTTTTTACAAATGTGGATCTTACCTATTAAGAGTCAATATAGTCAAACTCAAACCCAATCTTCCAGACAGATTCTATACTGTAGCTACACCTAATAATCAGCCCTCAACTGCTCAGAGATCTGGGGAATGTGATATTTAAATGTTTAATTATTTAAAAAACTTTTCATAACAAAAAGAGACAGGTTGGCTCCTAGCAAGCACTCTGTTTTCTCCGAGAAGACGGAAGACCAACGTCCATCTGCAGTTTGCTTCGACTGCCAAGCGCTGACCATTGGGCAAAAACTGCCTATCACATAAACTGGAGACCTCCAAACATGGACAGAATCACTGGAATCGACAGCCTAGCTGCCCAGGGTCAAGGTAGGCCTGTCTTCCTAAAGATTTCCTAGTTCACAGGGTCTTCAAAAGCCTGGCAGGCTCTACATTAAACAACAAAGGTCAAATGCAACCTTCAGCGACCAGGGAGGACCAAAGAGTAGCTCTGGGTGCCAACCAAGTAAGTTCTCTGTAATTTTTTAATCAGTAACTCAAGTAAAATCTTATCCTTCTCAAAGATCTCTGACAGTCTGATAGCTGAGAGGTTTTGCCAGGTTGTCTCACCAAATAAAAATACTTTTCATTATAATTTCTGTTTTTACAAATCCAGGGAGTTCTTAATACAATATATATATCTAAAACTTCTGTTTTTCTTATAAGTTCCAGGGAGCCAAATTAAAAAACCCACCGTAAACAGGTCAGATACAAACCTCTCAATTCCCTGGTCCTAAAATTTTTTCTCAATTTAACTTTGTCCTCTGTTCCACCAACACCCTAACCAGGTACAAGGGACATTTCCATGCCACAGCTACCTGTCCTGTCGGGAGCAGAGACCAGCTATGCCAGGATGTGACCAACACCCAGCTTCTCTCGGATCTCCCTCACCCCCACCCCCCCAAAGACGACGCCCACAAATCAGCTGGAAGCAGTCTTGAGAATTCGCCACCCCAATTCCTTCAACCTGTAATGTCTAACCTTCTACTTTTTATTATAAAAAGGATCCGGGAATGTTAGTCTTCTGCTGCCACTTTAAGAACTAGCCATGCCCACCCCAGCCACTTTTGGACCTCCCCCGCAGCCATCTTCTCTCTCTCTCTGGTGCGTGTGTGTGGGTGCGTGCGCGCACGCATGTGTGTGTGTGTGTGTGTCTTTGTTTTCTCTATGTTTGTCTATGTTTTCCTTTCTTTAAGTAATAAATGTCTAGCTTTATGTATAGCCTTATGTCCATTTACTCTGCCATCCACCCTATCCAGCTGCCTGACTCTGCCGCTTGCCCGGGGACCCTGTACTGCTCCGGCGGCAGCTTCTACCTGGCTTGAGGCCACCCGGGCCATCATATCATATTATTTTTAAAAAAAGAACAATACATGCTCTTCTTTATATGCAATGGTGTAGTGTTTGTCTGGGATGGACGGATACACAATTATCTGCACTGTTGAAATAAGCTTCAGATTTCTTGCAGTGCCAAATAAAATATACTACTACATAATTATTCACTATTGTTTCCAGAAATGACAACAAAAAATATGACCGTGTTCAATATAAATACAATATTTTCCCACAGATTTTGACCCAGGGTTAATTCAGTCAAGAAATGTGGAATCAAATTCATGACCCAGGACATCTAATTTGACTGAAGCACATATCATATGGTAAATGGTCATTTGTAGATTATGAGTATGGTACAACATAGCACAGTTATAGCTTATACTTACAGATCCCTCCAAGATCATTGTCTATAGTTGAGGGTTTTCCTTGTGGTGGGTGCCTATTGAGGATCCTGGTGCCCATTCAGAGGATTCTGGGGAATCCTTGAGGCATAAAGCAACTGAGGTAGGGAGACAAATGCAAAGTCATGTTGAAAATGTATGAGGGAGGAGAGAAGAGACAGAAGGAGGAGGAAGTGAAAGAAGTGGGAAATTAGTGTTATTACTGTCATTCTAGTCTACCTCCATTCCTTGGAAACATCCTGAAAATACCTGGAAATCTATATCAACATTAGAGAGAATCCCCTTTGCCCTCAAGAGCAATAGATTTAATGAATTTGTATACCCTATTATTATTATTTTTTAATAAAGCCGCTTTATGAAAAAATTAACATGAATTCCCAGGCTGCAGATTCATGCAAATGAAGATAAGAAAAACGAGTGATTTGTTTGGAAGTTATCTCTTCTTCTGGGGTACCACTTCTCATTCTCACCTCACTCACTTCCTGGTCTCCAAAGAAGAAGAGGAGACAGAGTGAAATTAAGTTTTTCCTGAACATAAACAGATATTGATAAAAAGAGAATGGTTCATTGTTCTGATTTTATTGGCTGGTTAATCTGCAATGAATAATTATAATAAAAATTAAGCATTGTAAGCATGGCTGTACTTAGTGCTTTTTCGATGTTATACCATTGCTTGAGGCTTGGTGGTTTGATTATTCTATGTAATTATTTATTCATCCCATAACATACAGATATGGAGAGCTGGGATGAGAAAATGACCTAAGGAAGATAGTAAGTGATTGATAGTCTATCTCTCAGCAAAGGTTTTTGTTTTTATTTTAATTTTTAAACCTGTGCCATTCACTGGAAAAGACTTGGTGAGTGTTTTTCCTTGCCAACATACATGTTTCAAGCCCCAGATGATTGGGCACCCTAGTCACACAATGTACTTCCAACCTCTCATGATTTGAACATGAGATCTCTCCCCTACAGTCTTGAATTTTGGTTCCTTGCTCCCTGGCTTGTTGTGCTGTTTTGGGAGGCTGTGGAATCTTTACTATTGAGAGCTAACTTGCAGAAGTAAGTCATTAGAAGTCATTGAAACTTTTACCCAATCAAGTTTCCAGCCCCTCTTTTACACTTGCTACTCAGCTCCCAGTAACTGCATTCAGAATATGTTTCCCTACAACGGACAGAGTTCTTCACCACATCTTCTCTATCTATGTCTGTGCACAAAAGTTTTTCTGAAGAATTGAGTTAAACCTTTTCTCAAGCTATGTGAGTATGAGAAAGCTAATCAACGTTTTGTTTTTTTTTTTTTGAGTTTCAGGATTTTTTATTTCCCAAACTAAAATTCTCCCTTTCTTTCTTTCTTTCTTTATTTCTTTCTTTCTTTCTTTCTTTCTTTCTTTCTTTCTTTCTTTCTTTCTTTCTTTCTCTTTCTTTCTTTCTTTCTTTCTTTCCTTATTTATTTATTTATTAAAAAATCCCACCTTCTCCCCACCTCCCATTTCCCTCCCAATTTCTCCACTCCTCTTCCCCCTCCCTCTCCAGTCCTAAGAGCAGTCAGGGTTCCCTGCTCCATGGGAAGACCAAGGTCTTCCCCTCTCCATCCAGGTCTGGGAAGGTGAGCATCCAAACAAACCAGGCTCCCACAAAGCCAGTCCATGCAGTAGAATCAAAATCCAGTGCCATTGTCCTTGGCTTCTCAGCCAGCCCTCATTGACAGGCACATTCAGAGAGTCTGGTTTGATCACATGCTCCATCAGTCCCAGTCCAGCTGGCCTTGGTGAGCTCCCATTAGATCAGTCCCACCATCTCAGTGGTCGCCCTTTTGTCTGTGGGGTCCTTGGACTACCAGGATTCCCTGTCTCAGAGCTAATCTTCTTTAGAACAAGGGTGAACAGAGTTCAGTTACCAGGATGCCAATCCTCTGGTGCTAGTTGATCTGCACTCATGGCGACAAAGGACTATAATGCTGGCGAAGGCCGCAGTTTGTCAGAATGGAGACTAACCAGAGCGAATTAATACATGACAACTAAGAGGCTAAACTCAGTGTATTCTAACACAGACCCAAGTCAGTGTTATTCTTGGGTCACTTCTTATTGCCTGCATATCAACATGTATCAGCTCCTTTCCCAGCACCATGTCTGCCTGCATGCCACCGTGACCACCTCCATGACAATAATGGACTACTGAAAATGTAAGCTGTCACCTCATTTACTTGTTTTCCTTTATAAGAGTTACTGTAGTCATGGCATCTCTTCACAGTAATAGAAACTCTAAGTAAAACATATGGATAGACTGATCACTCAAATTTATAAAAAGGAAAAGAGGCCTTTGAGATTGAGATTAGGTATCTTGTTTTTTTGCCTTATAGGAATATTTTGGCTTTAATTTGAAGGACCTGATTTTTCTTACTCTGTTATAGTATCAGACAATCTCCCATTTCTGATGACAATGTCAACTGTTTTTTTAATGATACCTTTCACAAACTGAAATGAAAGGAAGTTAACTGGTGACACAATTAGTGAGTAAATGTCAAGGTACAAGTGGCTCTAAAATGAAATTAAGATAAAATCAAGGGATCCTGTCTTTAACATGAACTCTTCATGAGTAATGAAAAGTCCATTTTCCCATTCTCTATGTTTAAACCTATATTTCACAGGTCATCCTCAGTTACTATAAGGTTCCTCATGTATCTAATAAATATATTTTTTAATCTTTCTTTTGTTTGTTTGATTTGGATAATGTATGCAAATGTGATTCTAGTTGTCTCAGAAACTCCAATAAAGTATCTCTTGTACTGTGTGTATAGGGCACATTTAGAAATTTAAGTCATAGTAACTGATAAGCAATGAATACAGTAGTTCTCAGAGAAAGGCAAAAAGGGGATGGGAAGAGGAGCAGGAAAAAAATGGTAAGAGAGAAAGAGAGAGGGAACAAAACAGTGTGTCTACAGATCCGTGTCACTTCTAAATTAGAAAAAGAACAGGCTGTGAGGTGATGGTGCGTACCTTTAATCTCAGCACTTGGGAGACAGAGGGAAACAGATCTCTGTGAGTTCTTGGCCAGCCTAGTCTACAAGAGCTAGTTTGAGGACAGACTACAAAGCCACAGAGAAGAAACCCTGTCTTGAAAAACCATGAGAGAGTTAGACACACACACACACACACACACACACACACACACACACACAGAGAGAGAGAGAGAGAGAGAGAAAGAGAGAGAGAGAGAGAGAGAAGAAAAGCAGATATCATTCTAATTGGTTCTTCTCCTTGTGGCTAAAAGCAATGATAACTGAAGAGGGAGATATGTCTTTCACATGTTCAGCAAACCCTATACTAAGATAACCTCTTTTACTCTGGTCAGAATTTCCCTGCAAGCTAAGCACTTCAACTAGAATAGAGTTTACACAGTTAACTACAGCAGTGAGTGGAGGACCTGCATCTAACCAAAGAATTAGCTGGAGTGGATGCAGAGCTAAATGTAATAACCAACAAAAATATCCCGAAGAAGAAAT